AAAGCTTTCGTGTTGTCAGTATATTCAATTCCCGCAGATATTTTCCTTTGACATATTCCAGACTATGTGTACTTCCTGCAAGCACTGAAGTTGAGCGAAAATTTGGTAGTTAGATTCAAACTCTCAGCCCTTGTCTTAATACCTCATCCTTGTCAATATTACTCTCCATTTCCAGGCTCAGTAAGTCGAACTAAAAGAGTGGTTGCTGGTCAGTTCGCGAGATTATCCATAGAAAATGCGGTTTAAGCTGATATTTTGGTGTCGTTTTAAGTCCAAAGTAATTTTTGGTTAAGTGAGTACTCCCTGCCGAGAGAGCAAAATTACAATATGAATTGGGTGGTTAACCTCCTATTATACCTCCTTCCTGACCTAGTTCTAACAGAAATTCACCCTTGGATCTTTATTCCAGGACATGCTTACAGGAGTAGCTGTCTCGTCGCTATAACCCTCTATCAAGCTAAGTCATAGCTATTTCCAGGGTTGTAATTGCCGGGATACTATTCAGAAATCGTTTGGTATGGGACTCACACATTATCTAAATGAGGAACAATCCTTTAATTATCTACCACCATATGTGTTTAGAAATACCAGTAAGCTGAGGGCAATAGAATTCTTTACCTTCAGCGTTTTTATACTCTATCTCTCATTTCGAGAGTCACTTCTAGTTCTTAGCGTAATAATGCACCAAGGAATTTATGAGATATTGGAACGGTCTTAATTGATAGCAATGACTGCAGAGGATTGTTGTCTGAACACCAGGGAGCTTTGCTAAGACACATCGAATATCTCGCATACTACTGGAGCTCGAGGTGCATAATAAAATTGGCATTTGAGGTTGTAACGGATGAACTATTTCATGTAGCAAATGCTACAAGTCGAACGAACGGATAGTATTGATTGATTTATTCCGCGGCTTTTGATTTTATACGACGTTGATGTTGTCTGTTAGATGGAGCGTAAACTCCGTTGATATTAGTTATCGTGGATGTAACAACTATTCAGTTTCTCATACCTTACGGTAGTTTCTTTGTATTTCCCATATCGTAGAGTACCAGTAGCAGATTAATGAATAAGAATGCTTCTAATCACAGCGACAAAATCTTAGGTTCCATGTTCGCCTCGTAAGTTGCTCAGGGGGAGGACAAATGAAGCACATCTGACAAGGGTAAGATAGTCGTCGCCCCTTGATACGGAGATGGATAGTTGTATTGTCGTCAAGAAAATGAGAGTCATTTAAATGTTTGATCAACCGATATCTATCGATACATTTTTTTCCAACAAAAGTATGGAAACCACATTGACAGCCGCAAACTTAGCAATTTTCCTCATCTATTTGTTAATAATTTTCTATTATTAAAAATTTCTTAGGGTGCATCGCAATAAGAGCCTTGATAATATTTGGTGGATAGATATCACCAAGCCTTTAGAGAAACATATATCATCCTACCTTGAGTTATACTTGTCCAAATTTATAAATTTTAGGCTTTGAATGCGCTAAGGTTACAAGAGATATTATGAAGGACTATTCATGAGCAAAGGTCGGTCCCTATCATACATAATTTAGCAGCTTATGAGTTTATCCTTTAGGCATGGCAATAGATAGCAAGTTCACAGCCTGTTCAATTCGATTTAACCAGGAAGACGCCCATTAAATTTGTTGATGCAACAATCTCAAAGCCTTGATACGTATTTTCAGAGACAATCCCTACCTTCTGAGATTCATTCAGATACTGCCATGTTATAGGGACTGGGCAAAGTCTTTTTTATACTCCTTAGTATTTTTATTCTAAATTCAAACCATTCTCAACTCTTTCGAATCTTACACAATAATATCCGTCTGAGGATAAACTTCAAGGAACTTTTGTGCTCAGCCGGATACAATGTAACTGTATAGTGTATTACAAGGCCAGGTAGGAAGTACTTTAAATTTGTCTTCGAGTATTTTCCTGTAATGAGACAGGCATTACATACATTCAGCCACTTCTGATGTGAATTTGGGCTTATACCTACCAGTATCATTTGAAATAGTGAGGCTTAAAGCCTTAACTTTAGCTACAAAAAGATGAAAACTCCAAAATAAAGAACCATGCAGGCTAGCACAATTTAATTGAGGTGCTGACGCCTATTCATTACTATGGCCAGGCTGCTAGATTCGCTGAGTATCATCATGTATTTCCACCCGATGGCACAGTTGTCCATTCATGAACGTCATGAGTAAGCTGGCAAATGTCTGGAAATTCGATCCGCAATCCCAACTCAGAGAGTTTGGCGCGTAAGCCTTAGCCAAGGTTAAAGGAAAACTTGGGATACAGCGAATGGCAAACATCCAGGTCTATCAGAATAATTTGGTGTATCCACTAGCTATATTGAATAAAGGCGAGACAATAATTCTCCGATGAGTTGTTCTTCGATGATTTAATTTTACGTAACGGAAGATTTGAAGCATGACACTTTTATCAAGATTTCAAAAATATCTAGCAAAATAGCCAGCTATTGAGGTGGTAATAAGTGTAAATTTCACATTCAAAATTGTTACGCACATCCAGTCCAAGGTGTGTGACTAGCATTAAATAGACATCGAATTAAATCAAGCCGTATTTGCCATAAAAGCAGATAGATACGTTCTCCACTGTTATAGCCAGCTTGATAAAGTGGTGGATCTATGGGTAGAGATGGGACGATTGGTCTTGATAAGCCGGGTACTACTAAGATTCTTGGCGATGGGGGCTTTCATAATTGAAGCACGTTGTTAATTATGTGTAGGATTTTCAGCTCTTTTTCTCATTGGTGGTAGATTGGGATTTCAGATATCTAGGAAACTGGAACGCGAGTATGGGCGACAGTTACTCTTCGATTGGGTATAATGTTTTACGAAAGCTTTACAAGTAGACTGGGGTGGCGGTGCCTACTCCGGCCCGCAGGAAATCATCGATAGTGTACCAAATGTAAGTTGGATGTTTTACAGTGTTTTGTCCGCCTCCCCGACTGGCGGGGGTGGCAAATTCTGTCTCTGCCAAACTAATAGCGTTATTGCAAGGGTTTTGGCTTGTAGCCATTCGGGCGGCTTGGCGCTTCTTGACCTATTGAGTTTAGGTCTATGTTGAGCGAAGTAGATCTTTAATAGCTAGTTTCTGGGTATCTGCGCAGTTATTGACTTTTTTCCGGTGGCAGTACACCTGGAAGTGTTGAGCACACACTTGAGGGTGTTGTTATCCCTTGCCTCAAGCTGATCAAGCGAATGCTCCCACGCGATAGTCTTTTAGATGAGATTATGTACATGTTAGTGGAGAAGACGGAGGTGTGACTGACGCTGAGTGATAATGCTGCGTCGACTGATAGAGTTCAATTACAATCAGGTACATGGTGAGGGCAGAAGTTCAAGTTTGCTTGGTAGTGCCTTGCCAACCTCAATCTCAGTGGGGCCTTGCATGATTAGAGAAATTGGCGTTAGCGAAAGTCCACGTGACCACGGTGCACGACTGGTAATCAGGTCACGTTTCAGACAATCAAGAAACATCCCGGAGCCCTACAGCCTATCAGTAGCGCCAGTAGATACGACTTCTTCACCTCCAGGAGACGCCAATCTAGGTAGTTTGTTGTGATACTTGAGTCTATGAATGTCTAGTCCGTTGAGCTCCTCTCTGACCCAGGCCTCGCCTTGTACGGTGCTCCTTGCCTCTCATGTTTCTTGAAAGATCATTGGTATGTTGCCCTTGGTGAATTGCTATTCAGCTCAGAATTTACCCGTGGAGTTCAGCCACCTTTTCCACTGAGCATACTACCCAAAAAAATGGTCGCAATGGAAGCTGCGTGCACCGGAAAAAGTCTCAAAAAACCTGCGGCCATAGCCAGGCGAGGCCTAGACACCGGGACCACGTGAGGTGCGCATATCCATTAATATCTCCCTTCTTTGTAACAGTCGAGGCCGACTTGATCCAATCCACCATCTCCGTATCGGGTGCTGGGTACGCTCCGGAAACTCATCGGATGGCTTTTCATTCATGATCAAGGGTTGGTGATAATTAGGGCGCCGACCCTACCATCTGATCAGATCATAGTTAGCTTCATGATAATGGTGATAGGGGAATGTGTTGAGAGATGAAGACGATACACACGGCGAAAGCGATTGGGAATCCTCGTCGAAGCGAGGACTTTGCTACTCCATCTCGGCTTTGCAGACTCCACAGTGGGAGCTGGAGGTTCGTAGGGTACACTTTTCATTGGTGTTGATAATGGTCCCCAGCCAGCGGTGCCGGTGTAATCGCTCAGGATGTTCTGCATATCTGGGATAGCCAAGAAGAATCGCAACCGAATCGAAGTCGAAAGCAACCTCAGGCATATCTCAAATCGATCAATTCTCATCAATCTCGGATCTATCTTTCTCAAGGAGGTCCTCCAAATTACTCATACCACGAATCAACACGCCTCAACTATTGATAAAAGCGTTACTACTAATACAATCAGGAATTTACCTCAATAAAAATCGACCATCTCTCACCATAAAGTTACGATGCTGCGTATACCCGCAGAGGAAACTAAGTCATAATATGCAGAGCTCAAGTCTTGGCCAATGGAGTAACTTAGCTCTAACGGAGCTCTACCTGATGAGGGATGACAGGCAGTTTAGCCGTGTAATGAAAGAGGGAAGAGGTCACCATTGGGCATGGTGGGAATCACATTTTTCGAGGGGTTTCGACTTTGGGTTGTTTGTCGGCGCCGAGGCTACAATTTTGGACAGAGCTACCAACACTTTTACAACAAGCAATGATGGAAGGTATTGCGATCCGCCTCCTGGTAGTCATCTACCCGAATAAAAGTCTGAATAGTCTGAACTCGTATCTCACTCGAGAAAGAGAGGACTTTGAGGCCATATCTCGCACGGCGGCTATATACATGATGACAAATGCATGTTAGATCCTACATGTATTCATAGCACCAGTCATGTGTCATGGATAGATAGTTGAATACACATTAAATCATTTAAAAAAAAGGCATATTAGGGTAGCCAAAGATTTTTCCTGTTTTCCCTTTGGTGGATATTAACGGTTGAGGGAAAGGTGAAAGTCCCTAGAACGAAGGTTACGAGTGGTATCAGCGAGTGCAGCCACTACATAAGCGGTCCAAATATAAAAGTGAGTTATAGTCGTATATAACGGTTAAGGAAAACCAGCCTTTTCCGTGATTTGATTTCATGCCTTTTTTAGGCATCATGTTTTAATTGAGAATGCAGCTATCTAGCTATGACACAATATCAAAGAAAAGTACATAATAGATGACTCAACTTAAAATTAGAACACTCATGCCTCGAATTTTATTTACAAGTACTACTGCAAAGTTATGGTGGCTTTTTCTTCAGCCCAAATCAATCCTCATCCGTGAATACCCACCCAGGGGAACGTCTCAAAAACCCTGGTTTATGCAGACATGCCTCCATCATCCATTGGCTTTTCTCCGCGCGAAATGTGGTCTGAGGCATCTCCTTCCAAAGTGGAGTGGATGCCTAGGAAACTCAGACTACACCAGACACCACCAGGAGGCGGACCGCGGCGCATTCCCTCCTTGGCTTGTGTTTATAGTGCCAGCTGCACTCCCTCAAGCAAAGTCTTGGCGCACACAAAGCTCAATTCGTGAAACTCCTTGCCAAATTTCAAATTCACACGCTCGTCGAGACTGTATCCATCCTCTGCATCATCTTGTGAACTTGTCCTGATCCCTCTCACGTCCATCCCATAGAGCTGTGTCCCAGATTTGTGCGCCACACTTTGCTTCCTTTGTTGGGTGTAATATCGGGGTGGGCGTGTTTTGGCGACCAGCTGAGGCCAGAGAAAGCAGAGAAGAGGCGTGATCACTGGAATGAGGATAAACTAGGTCGTACTTGTAGACTTGACGAGACTTAGGAGTCGATCTCGTTGGGAGAGAAGGATTGACGTTGTGGAGTATTTTGAATCACTGCGTCGTGGGCCAACTTCGTTGATATTGCGACATATGACTGAACTTGGCTTGGAGAGAATATTTCACTACCAGGTTCGTAGAGGATACCACGTACAGGTGTTCAGTCTTGTCCTCCGCTTGCCCTGCTCGTTCACACCCATTTTAGAGCTAATAAATCATGAGCGCATTAAAAAAATATAAATAAATAAACAAAAGAAATTATCGTTGGTTTTGAGTCAGCAATCCTCATCCTAAGCTCTACGCCAGCGTATTTTCCCTGACACTTATCTCAACACCCGTCCTTGCATTCAGCCAAGAACTAGGATGCGTCCAGTCTACCTAAGCCGCCTATAACTCATGCAAACTTTTTAAACTTCTCTAACCCTTTGTGTCCGAGGAGTTGCCTAGTAAAGGCTTCTAAGCTCTTGTCTTCTCTAAGTTAACGCGTCAGTATATTGTATCTCCGACAGCGTGTAAAGTGGGTAGGCGTCTTTTCTAGCCCACAGCCACAAACCAGGTTTGCATGTTCGTGCTTGAAGCGACGGCGATACACTGCAAAGGTGCTGTCTGTTTGTTCATCAGTAAATATTTTTGCCGCTTTCCAATGTTCTGGATCGGCTAATGATATCACGTTATAACGATATTAAATAGGGGCACGGAATCGTTTCATTACAACGAGTCCGCACTGTTTTTTCCATATCCTACACGATCGATATTATTTTAAAGTATTATTACTTACAACAGATTTCATCACCTGCATCTCGTCGAATAGATTGGCTTACTATAGTTCTATATTCTGTTTTGACACGGTTAAAAAAGGAACAAAGGTCCAGCAGCGGTTGATTGGTGCTAAAATATGTAAAGGCTGTTGGAATTTAGAATAATTGGGGCTATCAAGTGGGCCACGTTGCTGATCTACACGTGACTGCAAATTCTGTACTTAGTTTCACTTCGGTAGTGACATGAATCAATGCGCGCTCTGTAACCTCAATGACTGAGGGGTCATTATTTCCTTAATAAAAGCATCAGTTTCATATGTCCGATCGGCTGTCCCAATAAGTCTCAATTCATTTTCTCATGTACATTTATAGAGTTTTAAAAATGGTATCTGGACTCTATTAGTATTCCCTTGACATATCTAAGATTTTTCCAAGGGGATACTAGAGACTGTAAAATGGGTGAACCAAATCTACTACGGCGAAATACTTTACATGCCTGCCAAGATAACTTTTTGCCATTTGATTCTGACGAAGTCGTTAGTTGAAAGTCATTAAAAAATGCTGTCTGGTACTAAATTAGACCGATAGCATATTACGATCCCTTGATAACATCCTAGAAATCAAAGCAGAGAAGTACGAGGACTCAGTAACAAATGTAAATGCCCCTTACATGCCTCCAGCTCTCTCACGAGAGTTCTGTTGGTAAAACACGAAGCAATACAAATTGGGTGCCGTCACGAAGTCGGTGAATAGTATCAATTAACTGGTATCTCGAAATACATAAAACGTTGTCTCCCTTTTTCTCTTTTTCTCCCCTTCCTTCCTCTACTCCAAGCGCCTCGCTAATGAGCTAAACCAGACCCCTGTCAGTGTCCTAACGACAACCTGAATACTGTAAATACATAGAACAATTCTCACTACCCAAATATGATCCTTTTACCGACAAGTTCAGAGTCAAGATGAAGCCTTAGGCGGTGACCAATATCCTAGTAAGCACAAAGATAGGTGTATGAATGAATGAAAGTTTTTTCGTGACGGGCACAAGCCCTGCACTCAAAGAGCATGACACGTAGAAGACTAGCTTCTCCGGCGACTATATACGACGATAACTCAGTTTGATATTTGGACTACTCATGTAGTGGGTGCATTCACTGATATCGCTCGAAACCTTGGTGCTAGGGGCTTTCACCCTTCCCTAAACCGTTAATATCCACCAAAGGGAAAACATAAAAAACCTTCGGCTACCCTAACATGCCTTTGCCATCTTGTATAAAGCTGCCGCGCGAGATATGGCCTCACAGTCCTCCCTTTCTCGAGTGAGGTAGGTGCCCAGGCTACCCAGACTTTAATTCGGGGAGATGACGACCAGGAGGCGGACCAAAACACCTTCCATCGTTGCCTATTTTTAGAGTGTCGGTTGTACCATCCAGGATCGTTGCTTCTGCACCCACAGACAATCTTAAGTCGAAGACACTCGAAAAATGTGCGTCCCAGCATGCCCATTTGTGACCTCTTCACTCGTTCGTCCCACATCCCACATCCCAGCTACCTATCCTCCCTCAAGATGTAAAGCCCCATTAGGGCAACGGCCCCCCATTGACTAAGACCCGAGCTTTGTAGATTATGACTTGAATTCCTCCTCGCGGGTATACACAACATCGTAAGTGTGTAGTGGGAGATGGCCGGTTTTTGATGAGTCAAATGCCCGATTGCAATTGAAGTGACGCCATTATTGGTATTCGAGGCGAGGTAGTGTAGTAAGATTGAGGTGGAGGACTTGCGTGAGAATGATAGATCTGACATTAATGAGAAGTCGTCGATTTTAAATATTCTTGTGAGTGCTTTCGACTTCGATTCGGATGCGATTCTTCTTGGCTATCCAAAGTATGCAGAGCATACTGAGCGATTACACCGGCACCACTGGAAGGTAGAGAATTCGTCTTTGCCGGCGATAGGTGTATGAATAGTGGCATTTATTTTTTTATAATATTTAACGTCGTGCCCGCGCAAAGCACGTGAGCTCCTCACGTACCGGTTAGCCCAGTCTATATAAAACTACCCGACGTGTGAGCGCGTACATAGACCAAACATAGCAAATGAAAACCAGGATCTTGTTATCCTGTGCTCGAAGATTTAATTTCAACATGAATATCAGCCTCCCGTTGTCTCTAATGTTTTGCAAATTTTATTGCATGGAGAATACATAGCAAAGAAATAAATTTAGTAAAGAGGAAAATTGGTTGCATCGCTTTTAAAGCTATCTCGCTTTTATTACATGACTTGATTCTCGTCAGACTTGTTGTTGAGCTTTTCCAAATCAGTTTGTGTCACGCACCCAGCTACTGAATGCATGAACAATAGTGGCATAGGTAGAGTAGTTATGGGGAAATTTACGGATATTAGTCAGGTGGTATCAGTGCAGTGTTGGGGTCTACTCCCGCTCATTATTCATGATACCGCGGGCACGACGTTAATTATTATAAGTTATTCATGATAGATATAGATATACGTTTTGATTAATAGACATTTTACCCAATTTTGTGCTGGCACATTACCTAGAACCGGTGATAAACCGACAACAGGCTAATTTATCTTACTATATGTACTCTCCGTTCTGAACATTCTAATGTTTTGAACCGGTCGTGGCTTGTCCCAAGGCACGAATCACAGATGCATTAAAAAGAAAACTTTGGAGGCGAAGAATGGCTTCCGCGGAGACAATCAAGTTTACGGCGACTGGCTCGAGCTTCTTCGATTGCTCCAAACTACTAAAGTTTCTTCGTTTTTATTCCTGATGTTTACACAATGGAAGTCTCGTATCCAGTCGTTTTTGCAAGTCTCCTGCCTACCATACACCTAAATAGTTACATCTTTCCGTTAGCTGGAGAGAGGTAATTTCGAAGCACAGAATCCTTTAACAAGCGAGCGATCGGCCGAAGACTTGTAATTAACATTGCCTTTGAATGAAAGCTGTTCATTCTGATGCAAAAAGTTAATGACAAGATGTAAATGAATAAGATAACATGTTCGATCTGACACATATTTTTCCTCCCAGTACGGCCTAAATCGTCTTTAACGTTGTTTACAGCCTTAGAACTAGAGCGTACAATTAAATATAATTGGCAAGACAATCTACAATTGGGGAATTGGTCCTTCTATCTCGCGTTTTCCGGGGTAGAATACTGACAACGTAGCCGCGAAATTTTGTTTACTTAGGAATTTCTTTCATTGGACGTGTTGCGGTGGTGGGGTTGCGCTTTACACCAACTGAGCCATGTGGACCGTGTTCAGGAAATAATACAGACTTGTATTGATCGGCTAGTAAAACAGCATCTCAAAAAAATACGGAAATATCCGCTCTCACCCATGAAAGGTCTGACGTATAACATCAGATATCTTGCGATGCAAAAGTTGTCGCCACATACAAATATTGAATTGAAGCTAGAGAGATGGTAGATATCCCGTGGCCGCGACTTCTTACCAATATTCAACAACTGATCTAAATAGATATATATCGGGAAACAGTGTCATCGCGGACGCGGTGCGTCCTCCGCTAGATTTTCTGTAGTGTCGGTGACTTGGAAAGAGCAATGAAGTTTTCGGTGCGGCTGAACTCGTTATTATCAGCATCGGAATTTTACATTATTTCGACGACATGATTGTGTGCAATGCCCGATAGTTCGTCGTATCGGAAAGTCTGCTCGGCAATTAGATACAGTTACTCATAATATCGTTACTCGCATCCACTCAAATAACGGAATTCAGCCAAACAATAAGTTAGTGATAATGCGCTCTGTGCGCAGCGGACTTCCTGATTGATGTTGATTAGGATGCTCGTGGGCTCAGGAGCATACTTCGTGAAATTATTTACATACAACACTCTCGTTGACTACTCGAAGTTATTGATAGCTAGCTACAAGGTTACCATACGACTTGTTACACTTATCCGCCCACAAACCCTGCGTGCTGAGAATAATAGAGAAATCTGCTGGTTACACAAGGAATTTCCTATCGGATTGTGGTACGATGAACCTGGACTCTGTGAACAACGCCAGATCTGGACCCCAAGTCAACGCGCGAGCTGCTAGAGGGCAAATAGCTGCTCAGGCTTGTGAGACTTGTAGAGGGAGAAAGCAAAAGTGTGACGAAGCTCGACCAAAATGTGGTTTCTGCCAGCGGATGAATCTTGAATGCAAGTATAGAGAACCACAGCCCACAAAGTAAGTTTAAAAAAGCGTAGAAATTCATTGCAGCTTATATTACCGATTGCCCGTCGGCATCTTAAGATTGCTCTAATTTAGGAACCGTGGACAGCATAGAAAATCATCATCAATAACTTCATTTAATCAGGAACTAGCAACTAACTAAACTCTCTTCATCCAGAAAAGATAAAACTCTAGTAGAGATACTCGACAAGCTAGACCAGATTAAGACGACGATAGACCGCATATCTACGAATTGTCCAGCATTTCACTCAGATAGTTTAAGACCTACCAGTTCAGCCCATTCAACCCAGCAGTCCTTTGCTGGAACTATTTTTGCTCTTGATGATAACTCCAGCTTTACAACGTCACCCTTAGCAATTCAAGATCCTTGTGATTCATTACGTTCATCCCAGCCCTTTTATTATACATCTATAGCTCACAAAATTCTCTTGTGGCCTGCTATCCAACGTCATATACAATCGATTCCGGCTTACCACGCGGATATTAAATGTGCTGAGCAAGAAGGGTCGATATTTATTGTTCAGCTTCATAAGGTAATGATGCCTCTACCTCTAAATGATCATCTACCAAGCCAGCCTTTGGCTGGCATACAGTCTCAGCCAGGAGCTACCGGTGGTGTTCGAGTTACATTCCCATTTTTGACGCATGAAAGAATACACTGTTTGGCTTTAGCATATTTTGAGACCTTCAACCTACTTTATCCCTTCATGGACAGGCAAAACTTTATGGCTGACATACTTGCACGCATCTATACTGAAGGATTTGATGATAACATCGAATCAGTTATAGCACTCCTTGTATTTGCATTGGGAGAATTAGCCCTTGATGGCGCACGTGGCCTTTCATTGGATATATACCAGTTTCATCAGATTAACAGGCAAGATCGCTATGCAACAAGACCTCCCGGCCTAGCACTATTTAACGAGGCAAGGAGACGTACAGGATTCGTCTTGACAGACTCGAATCTCGAAAATGTTCAAATATTCGCTCTTACGGCGTACGTAGTATCTAAATTCAAAATTTATGATAGTTTATACAGAAGCTGACCATCACAGATTATATTATCAATCTTGTTTCAGACACCTGGTAAGCTTTCGAACTAGCCTATTAACTATAAATACTCAGTATAACATTTTTAGGAATTTTGGAGATTAGCCGTGTATGCATCATTAGCATGTCGATTTCTGGTCACATGGTACGTATTTTACTCAATAGGTGTTCAGCTACTGAAAATAATTCAGTAATCCTATTGACTGGAGCTCCGTCAAAGGCAGGCTTATCAAGCGAATATACTGGCACTGTGCAGTTGTGGAATCTGGGCTTCATCAGGACCTTGGCCTACCTTTAACTGGTCTTTTAGGTATTGATGAGCTAGTAGGCTTACCAGATCATGATAGCGGGCATTGTAGTCAAGATGAGACTCGCCATCGAGCCTCCTGTGGCCACCACTATGCCGCACATATCTCACTTCAACGCTTGTACCTTAATATTCATTCCACCATACATGAATGTAGGTAATCCAATATCATAAGATTGGATACTAACAGGATAGTAGCAACAATACCCTACGTTAACTTCAGCGATATGGTACCTAAAATAGGGAAACTTCAAGAATTGGCACTACAGCTCTCTCACTGGCGCAGTACGCTATCAAAATGTATTCAGTGGACAGATGAAGACCTCCTTAAAAGCCCTTTCTTACCCGAAAATACATCACTTTACAGCCAAACACTAGATCCAAGTTTAACCCGACATCATGAGCCGGAAGTCGCTATCATGTATCCTTCTGATATACGGTGTGAGACTTTCCACTACACGTTCATTTATGATATTCAAGTAGCCCTACTGCGAACGCGGTACTGTTATGCGAATTACCTGATTCACAGGCCCTATATTTTCAAAGCACTTCATTTTCCTGATCAAGTAACGCGAGAAGATGCTCAAGGAGTAGCTGAGTGTTTAAGGGTAAACCCCACAAAGCTAATTAATTACTTATCACTACTAAGAGATCTTTTTAGGCTTGCATTAAATGGCCTCTCATTTTTTCGCCTGTGTCCCGCTTCAAGCGATTGGTTCCATACCTCTTTAGCTGGTCGCAAATTTTTATGTCAGTTCTTATGGTGCTACACATGACTAAAAATTCTCCGACACTTCAAAAGATCCGCTTCCAGCTTTGCGGGGAGCGATTCGAGGAGGACATACTCGAAAGCGTACAACTTATGATTGAGTGGATCAGAGATCTGCGTGGCTGTGATCCAATCGCTAGCTGGTGCTATGAGATTATCCAGCCAATTTACCATTTAGAGCCATAGGCCTCCTAAAAAACTATAGGCCATGAAAATGAATAAATCTAAATTTTTAGGCTATCCTGCCGTGTAGCATCATAAACTAAGCTACCGAGTGTTTTATTTGAAAGGTTCTAGGCTATAGCCTACGATCTTAACATCAAGGGGACAATGCGCATGACTAGCAACATCATCATCGCATAAAAACTGTACCAAGGCCCTATCATAAATTTTCGGAACGAGATTTCCACAAATCTCAACACTTTACAGATAATAATACGGCTCAAGAGATATTGTTCCACACTAGCTACCATGTAAGAGTAACGCCATTTAGTCAGCGACTGTATATTAGTACTCTAATATCTCGCTACTATGTAGTACTATCTCCCGAGCCTCTCAAGGCCTCGTTTCAACTACTCTTCGCCAATTTCTAGCTCCATATATCTCTCCCAGGCGTTCAATTGGATAATTATACTACTTCAAGTTGGTAGCGTCTAACTAAGTCCAGAATTTTTTATTAGCAGTTAAGCAACTCATGAAGTCTTTAAAAAGAAAATTTCGTCCATTCGCCAGAATTGAACGTCTGGGGATATCGTTGTCCGAAAGACTAACCTCATGCTAGACTAGGTCTGTGGGAGGATGATCAAGATTATGGAGACGCTAGCAGAATATCTCAGGAAGCAGTTGTCAGTACCCACTGAATAAAGTTACGGGCCACGTGCACTGCAAGATCCGGTGTTAGATCAAAGCCAAACTGCCTGAAAAAGAGTTTTTATCCTAAACATACATGTCTGACATGGCATGAACCTCTAAGGCGTTAGCTTCGGTGACAGTTACGTGACAGTATGCGCCTGTATTAGTGCGATTTTTTGATTGGCTGTTTGCCAAGAAAGTTCTAGGAACGAGAATATGGGGGGGAGGAAAAATTGGGCCTCACATGGTTGAGCTCATTCCACTCCTGAAATCCAACAGTACTTACAATTTAAGATGTCAAAATGAGATCATCTAAAAACCGGCACGTCTAGATCAATGGTTTTGAACAACTGCTGAATGTGAAATATGGGCAGTATAACTCCGTCACCGGACAACTTCCGTGTTAGCCACTAAGCCCCGTGGCGGCCCATGGTTTTTCGAAAATTTTGCCTTGACCTCCTCACTCTTCTCAGTCTTCAGAAAGGTAATAGAGGCTCACATTGCCAGCACAAGATGTAGATTGCTATTGCAAATTTCGCCTATCTTATTTTCACAGTTTCAGCTTCTTTATTTTTCTCGCGTAAAAATGATCTCCACTCTACCCACTATTGCACTTCCAGACATCAGCTATATCGTTAGTGGGCACGTTGAGAGTAGAAACCTAGTCCAGGTTTAACCATCTATTTCGAGACAAAGTCGTAGATAATATTGGGTCAATCGAAAAATGGTCTTGCTATGGCGTTAGGGTAGAAAAGGCAACAAGGCCACACTTCTAGGGGCAGAAGAATGTGAATTTTCACCACTCCTGAGGCTTGAAAGAGCGATCGCTTAACTGTACTAAGGCCCATTCTCTCTGCTGCCACAAGTATATGGGTGGTTATAAATCCGTACTTTCCATAAGGAGGTTAGATTAGTGCACTACGTTAACTGGCCTTGCTGGGATGGGAGCCAAAATTCCCTAATCAGAGAGAAATAGATACCTAGGCCATCCCACCTTTGCCTTGCGCATTCACCTGCATTGGTCCGGCGAGATCTTGAACAAGACTATGAACTCAGAGCACGCTTGTTATCTTCAATCATATACCTCCAATGACGTGGGTTGTCTTTCTCAGTTTTGACCTAAGATTCCCTAGGAATACAAAAATAAAAGTGAAGTTCTCAGTCTTGGCACGACCCCCACCAAGCATTTCGTGATCCCGTTACATGGTATCATGACAGGGATCGAGGGTCATGGGCGCGTTATCAAGATACACCATCGTCGATCTCGGGTAGTTTGAAAAGTTCTAGAATACGACCCGTCGTTTTTTCGCCAATCCTAGCACTGGGCCCCACTGCGTGAGGGGCCAATTGAAGATTTTCAACGACGATCCGAGCAACATTGAGTGAGCGCAGCGATCTCGATGTTATCAAACGAGGTGCATAATATCATCACCTGATATTTTTGTTGTACTACTTCAGTCATTGACTAACTAGCACACTAGGCTCATCTCTGACCCAGGCCACACCTTGAACAATGCTCTTATCCTATTATTTAAACTGAAAGATCATTGATACATTTTCCACGATGGATAGCTATTCAGCTCGAAAGGAAAGACTGAACACCCGTACGCGGTGTTTTCTACGAACCTGGTAGTGAAATATTCTCTCCCAGCCAAGTTCAGTCATATGTTGTCACGGATCAGGTATAAAAGCAATGGGCATTTGTATAGGAGATGGTAGTTTATATTTCGATTGATGGTGAGCTGTCTAGGGAGTCGGACATGTATTTATACATTCCTTTTCATACTATCCTCGACCTTCATCCCAGGAATAATCACGGCTTACTGACTTAGATCCTTCTAGTAACTTCTAGTCTCGTCCCTGGAAGGAACTTTCTTCATTGCTAGAAGATTCCCACTCTTTCTAGGTGAAGCTCGATCAACTCTGCTCTAGTCTCGAATGTTCCACCAGAAAAATATGACAGGTAAGCATATCTAAGAATCTACAAGAATATTCCTGATCATACCTCACAGGAGCCAAGAACTGTCTGCGCTAGCCAGCGTAGACTACAGGCATTACCCGGTTTACTAACCGTCACATATATCGCAATATCAACGAAGTTGGCCCACGACGCAGTGATTCAAAATACTCCACAACGTCAATCCTTCTCTCCCAACGAGATCGACTCCTAAGTCTCGTCAAGTCTACAAGTACGACCTAGTTTATCCTCATTCCAATGATCACGCCTCTTCTCGGCTTTCTCTGGCCTCAGCTGGTCGCCAAAACACGCCCACCCCGATATTACACCCAACGAAGGAAGCAAAGTGTGGCGCACAAATCTGGGACACAGCTCTATGGGATGGACGTGAGAGGGATCAGGACAAGTTCACAAGATGATGCAGAGGATGGATACAGTCTCGACGAGCGTGTGAATTTGAAATTTGGCAAGGAGTTTCACGAATTGAGCTTTGTGTGCGCCAAGACTTTGCTTGAGGGAGTGCAGCTGGCACTATAAACACAAGCCAAGGAGGGAATGCGCCGCGGTCCGCCTCCTGGTGGTGTCTGGTGTAGTCTGAGTTTCCTAGGCATCTACTCCACTTTGGAAGGAGATGCCTCAGACCACATTTCGCGCGGAGAAAAGCCAATGGATGATGGAGGCATGTCTGCATAAACCAGGGTTTTTGAGACGTTCCCCTGGGTGGGTATTCACGGATGAGGATTGATTTGGGCTGAAGAAAAAGCCACCATAACTTTGCAGTAGTACTTGTAAATAAAATTCGAGGCATGAGTGTTCTAATTTTAAGTTGAGTCATCTATTATGTACTTTTCTTTGATATTGTGTCATAACTAGATAGCTGCATTCTCAATTAAAATCTGATGCGAAAATAAAAAAAAGCCATTTAGCTCAGTGTTTGCCCGTGGAGTTCAGCCACCTTTTCCACTGAGCATACTACCCAAAAAAATGGTCGCAATGGAAGCTGCGTGCACCGGAAGAAGTCTCAAAAAACCTGCGGCCATAGCCAGGCGAGGCCTAGACACCGGGACCACGTGAGGTGCGCATATCCATTAATATCTCCCTTCTTTGTAACAGTCGAGGCCGACTTGATCCAATCCACCATCTCCGTATCGGGTGCTGGGTACGCTCCGGAAACTCATCGGATGGCTTTTCATTCATGATCAAGGGTTGGTGATAATTAGGGCGCCGACCCTACCATCTGATCAGATCATGGTTAGCTTCATGATAATGGTGATAGGGGAATGTGTTGAGAGATGAAGACGATACACACGGCGAAAGCGATTGGGAATCCTCGTCGAAGCGAGGACTTTGCTACTCCATCTCGGCTTTGCAGACTCCACAGTGGGAGCTGGAGGTTCGTAGGGTACACTTTTCATTGGTGTTGATAATGGTCCCCAGCCAGCGGTGCCGGTGTAATCGCTCAGGATGTTCTGCATATCTGGGATAGCCAAGAAGAATCACAACCGAATCGAAGTCGGAAGCAAACACATGCATATCTCCATTTGACGACTTCTCAATCATGCAGTACTTACCATCCTCCTTTGAGCCCTCAACCTCTTTCTAACTACACATCATCTTGCTTCAACGACTGGTAAAGGCGTCACCCTAATTTCAAACAGGAGCTTGCCTCATGGATTACCGGCCATCATTTACTACAAAGTTACGACGCAACGTATACCCGCAAGGAGGAAATTAAGTCACATTATATAAAGCTCGGGTCATGGCTTGTATGGGGCTGTAGCTCTAATGAGGCAAACAACTTGAGAGAGAACAGGCGGTTAAGACGTGGAGCGGGAGGGGTAACAGATCTCTGAAGACCATGCTGAGACTGATATTTTGAAGGGGCTTTCAACTTTGGAACGTTTGTGGGCGCCAAGACCAAGATTTAGGCTGATTAGCCTGGAAGACTTCAATTGTCGATGAGTCAACGGCACTCCCCAGCGCCCTGGACGGTACGAAAGGAGTTGGGCTAAGCAACTATACAGCAATCACACTCTATCAAGAATTTTCTGAATTTTCTGCACGACCTCCCGGAAGGAGGCTAGAAAGGCAGAGAGTGAATTTCCCGAGGTACCGACAAAACTGCAGTGCCCAGCTGGCCGGCCTCTTCGAACGCTTCAGAATATTCACTATGTCTTCGGATCAAGTCCTAATGTCAGTATTAAAAGAGCGCCGCACCAAGTGGTGGTTGCGATTTTTCCCAGTTGCCACACACCCGCAAATGGCCATCGTTTCGTTGGCTGGAGAGGGGAAATACTGAAGGGCAAAGGGCTCCTCTAAGCGTATGATCGAATGATAACTTGTGAGGGATGGAACTGTTTTAGGGGAGCTGTATGGG